CTAAACCCAAGCTTACAAAGCCCTCCTTTTATCATCTCAGACTTGCCCAAAAAAATATAATTCCATTGAAAGACCAAACACAAACAACCATTAGGATCCAATATTTCAATATGATAATCTCTAAAGCTGTGATTGGTTTGAAGGAAAAAGTAGGGAAAAGGTAGGAAAACCTTCATAAACTTTATATAGGTTTCCCTTTCATGCCTTTTTCCTTTAAACCAAGCATAGCCTAATTGTAAATGACTGATCGTTTCTTGATACAAGTATTTTCAGTGGATGAGTCAAATAGGTGCTCACGATAAGCTCATGTATACACTTATACACACTAAATCTTCCACGTGTGGATGATGTCATGCCAATCGTACCAATCATGAGATGCATTCTCAACATGATGGTGATATCCACATGTATGGAGTTGATTTGGTATAACTTAATTGGCCCACTATTAAAAAATGTGGTTTTATAGATTATGATGGCATTTGGTAAGTATTTTTTGAAAGATCTTTTGAAAAATCTTGACAGCCTATAGACCATTTGATTGAAAAGGTGTTTTTTTGTGTAAAGACAAGACGAAAAGAGTCAAAAAGTTCTATTTGGAGCTTCTCAAAAATATCTTAAAATGGACTTTCCGTGTCTTTTTGCAGCGGAGTCTTTCAGCGGCTAAATCTTCCCCCCAACCAAACAGAAAAAACAAGAACATGGGACTACCGGACTTATAAACAGCCAACAGCCAACGAGAGACACACCAAACAGGGCCTGCATCTACCTTAATTTTAAATTTAACCTCATCCGTCAGATTTGGATTTTTTAAGCCATAAAAATGGATGTTACATATCAAAGGCTTTTTAATTTTCACACGTAAATTGATGTATGCAAATCTAAACCAGATACAAATTTTACACCCAGTTCAGTTTAACATCTATTTGTTTCTAATCATGACTTGCGGTCTAGCTCATAAAAGAAATGTACTTTGTTCTTATTTATAATCTTTGGGCGTGCAAATTGTGAATCTGAAAAACTGACGTAAAATTTTTACAAAAAACATATGTTAACTTGAATCTTTAACTTAGCACACGTGCATAACAAGTACCCTTACACCTCACCACTAAACAAATTACCCTCACACCATCTCCATTCTCTTGCATAGATACAAGGTGGAGAATCTGGAGACATCTTACTTCCTCTTTTTTCTCACAAATAAATAACAAAGTCAAAACTGAAGCAAAAGTAGACCAGAATTTAGACAGCAGCCCATTTGCACTCCATGCAGATAAGCTAATGCAAATGAAATTTGCACTGCAACCAGAATTGCAAAACTGTGAGCGAGAGAAAATCTTGAATTTACGGGTGGCAAATGGGTGGGTTGGGTTGGGTTGGGTTGGGTGAGGGTTGAATACCAACCCACCATGACTCATCATCAATGCTTGTTGAAGGGTCAAAACCCACCCTAACCGTGACCCACCCATATTGACCCACTTGACCCATTCATATGACCCTTGCCCACCCTCACCCATACTAATCCACCGACCATCATATATAAATACATAAACGGGTCGACCCAACCTGGTTACCCTAAACAACAATTTTTGAGAGATTCAACTCTCCCGAGACTGTCAAGTGGTATACACGGGATGGATCGACCCATGTACCTAGAATAACATTTTTTATGAAACACCTCTCAATGATGCCACATGGAAGAAACGGGTCGTGTCAGCCCGTATACCCAAAAAATAACATCTTTTTGAGACAACTCTCCCGAGATTGCCGTGTGGTATAAACGGGTCAGGTTGACCCATATACCCAAAATAACATAAAATACTAGAATATACAGAAATTAATCAGAAAATTCACAAAACTGGAGAAAATTGCAAAAAAAATACAAGAAAATGCAAAAAAAATACCAGAAAAATAATAGAAAATTACAAAAAAATGTAGAAAATACAAGAAAATAGCAAAAAAAATATCAGAAAATACCAGAAAATGCAGAAAATATCAAAAAATTGCAGAAATTTCAGAAAAAAAAGCAGAAAATTTCCACAAATAGCATAAAATTGCAAAAATCACAGGAAAATGCAAAAAAATCAGAAATTTGTAGAAATTTGCAAAGAAAATAGCAGAAATTTCAGAAAATACTAGGAAGTTGCAGAAAATACCAGAAAATGCGGAAAATTTCAGAAATAGCAGAAAATTACAAAAAATACCAAAAAGTAGCAAAAAATACAGAAAAATGCAACAAATACCAAAAAATGCAGAAAATACCAGAAAATTGTATACCTAACTGTTGTTACACGTTATCTTCTAGGGTTCTTTTCGCAATATACTTTGTTCTTGATAAATGGATTTCGCTGATTTCTTAGCTCAACATAGAAACATTAACCTCGAAAACTAACTTACAAAAACAAAAATGAACATCAATTTCAATTTCAGCTAGCAGAAACATATATTTAATGCTGTGCTTAATTTGATACAAATAAGAGAGAAACATATATTTAACCAAAAAAGTT